TTTTTTTTGGAGAGATTTTCACTGTAGGGCGCGTGCGCTCGCCAGACAGACAGAGAGAGACATAGAGACAGAAAGCGAGAAATCACCCCCCAGGGGGGATGGTCACGCCGCAATCCCTTCTCCTCCATTCTCCTCTCGGGATCTTGGGCACGCACGCACACGCGCCCGGCGTGAGTTTTAAGCCACCGGGTCCGGGACACGAACCGCGGTCGACTACGTGGGAGTCCAGCGACATAGCCAACTGCTGGTTCCCCCCCATGATTCTATTTTTATAACCTTTCAGAATGGCAGAATTACAGAGATGAAGAGCAGACTTGTGGGTTGGGGTGTCGGGGATGGGGGGCCACTGGAAGGGTCGTGAGTTCTGTGGAGGTGGTGCAGGAACAGGCCCAGGCCCGGCACTGGCAGGCCCATGCACAGCACGCACAGGCGGAGCGGCCAGGGTCTGTGGCTGCAGACCCATCATCTCTGCCTCTGCCATCGCTAAGTAAGGCATTGCCGCTGGAAAGCATGGGCCAAGGGTATGCAGGCTTTTCTCTGTTACTTTGTAATTTCACGAGTCTCAAACTGTGGTCGGTCATATGGGGGTCCAGCACCTTAACCGCCACACCACTTGCTGATCCCAAAAAGTAAACATTTTTAACAGAAAAGAAATACACCCATGCCAGAAAGGCACGTGGGTGGGAAGCAGCTAGAGGACCACTGCCCTGGGCGTGGGGCTGGGTGTTACTTTTGCTGCGGAGCCTCCTCAGCCTCCTGGTGCATATTTAGCAGGGGTGGGCTGCCGTAACTCGTCCCCAGGCCTCTAACAGGGGTGGGCTGCGGTAGGTCGTCCTGGGACTCAGTGAGAACCTGCCGGCTCCCACCCGCACTTGCCCACTTCCCCTGGGAGAGGACTCAAGGGACCTGGGCAGTGCCGTGCCCCATGTGCACGTGCAGTGTCAGCACCATGCAGGTGACCTGCACAACCCATGGGACTCAGGATGTCCACCAGTGCCCTGTGAGGTCATCTCTCCTCTCTTGGGACCAGGGCATCTAGCCGTGGTCTCTGGCTCCCGGCCTGGCGCTTCTGCTCCATGGCAGCTGGCAACCCCAACCCTTCCATAAAAACCTATCGCAAGGGTTCTTTAGGTCACTCACAATTACATAAAAATAGAAACTTACAAAGTGCTGGGGGCCCAGCAGACAGCGGGCGTTTGGCTATGTCACTGGACTCCCTCCCATGTGGCCAACGGCAGTGAGTCCCGGACCCGGCGGCTTAAACTCACGCAGGGCGCGTGGAGACGAAGGAGGAGGGCGAAGGCCTGGAGTGGCCATCACTGCGGGGAGCGAGCCCGGCCCTGCGGGCGGTCAGGGAGGGGCAGACCTGGAAGGAGGACGAGGCACGTCTGGGGACGGTGGAGGGGAAGGCACAGCAGACAAAGGGGTCCACCATGGACCCACAGGGAACCTGCCCGACCCAGCGGCTTGGTGCTGGGTCCAGATGGACTTGGGGGTGAGGAGGCCTCCGCTGACGTGTGCGAGGCGTTGGGGGAGCCCGACAGCCTGACCACACGAGCCGCAGGCATGACCCGGCCTCAGGGGAGCGGAGGCCAGCGAGGGGCAGCGCCGGGGGCAGCAGGGGGACCAGCAGCTTCTCGAAGGCGCCGCCCCGGCCTGCGCCAGCGACGCAGCTCTGCCGGGTGTCCGCCCCTCCTGGGGACCCTCCCACGGCCTGCCAGGGCGACCGGAGGCCCGTAGGCCTGCCACGGAAACTTGTCT